TCCCTGCCCTTTATGCAGATGAGAAACCTGACACCAATCCTGCTGGTAAAGAAAGTACTGGCTAGAACAGGGGCTTCCCAACCTTTTTGAGCCTGTGGGCACCTTTGGAATCCTGACGGGGTGGTGAGCACAACCACAAAATGGCTGCCACGGGAGGGGGAGTCAACCCTAAAATGGCTGCCGCAGGAAGTGCGGCCAACAACAAAATGGCTGCCACGGGAGTGGGAGTCATCCTTAAAATGGCTGCCGCAGGAAGTGCAGCCAACCACAAAATGGCTGCCGCTGGAGGCGGAGCCAAATACACAGAGGAAGCCAGAGTGTAGGGGAGAAGAGTGGTGATTAGGGTAATTAATCAGGGTAATTAAAGCCCTTCATAGTCAGGTTCTGGCATACCTAAGGGACCGCCTTTCCCCATACATCCCCCAGAGAGCACTGGAATAGATGGTTGCCTAAGCCGTTTTGTAAATAATCTCGCTCTCGCTTATTAACTCTGTTCCAATGCTTATTAATATGTTTTAACGTTTTAGGAGGATTTTAAATGATCATTTACATGATGTTATGACTATTTATGTATCTGTGTGAGCCGCCCTGAGCCCGTCTCGGCGGGGGGGGCGGGTTTACCAACCCGATAAACAAAAAAACGTTTTTCTTCGCTCGGGAAGGAGGGCTCCAGAGCAAACTAATCTATGCAGCAGCTGAATCGTTCGCTCACAGCTTTAATGCCAGTAGCTCACAAAGTAGGATTTTTGCTCACAAGATTCCGCAGCTTGGGCTCTTTTTGTAGCAGGAACTCCTTTGCATATTAGGCCACCACCCCCCAATGTAGCCAATCCTCCAAGAGCTTACAGAGCTCTTCTTACAGGAGCTACTGTAAGCTCTTGGAGGATTGGCTACATTGGGGTGTGTCGCTTAATATGCAAATGAGTACCTGCTACAGCGGCTGCCGCTGAAACGTGATTTCCACCTGCAGGGCACCAGGAAGCCCACAGGCCAGGTGAATAGGGAAGGAGGGTTGGTCCTTTTTTGCTTCGTGCTTTATATAGCAGCCCCGCCCCCATAGCCAAAAACGTGCTAGGCCGCAAAGCCAGAAGAACAAGCGCCGCAGAAAGGGAAAGAACGGTGGAAGAGAGGATAGGCCGAATTGAGGCCCGGCTGAGGTTCACATTTCGCTCGAAAGGATAACGACAGAAGGCTTTTTATTGCGTGGTTTTCTCCTTGGCTCTCTGAACGGTGCTCGGGGTGTTGTCTCTTTCAGAGGCTGGGCCCGCCAAACACGCTGCACGTGCTCGTCCGGGATGTGAAGAAGGTAAGTTCGACCGGGAAGGGGGACAACGTCTTTGACGCTTCGCCTCAGTTGTCAGCGGGACGAGAGGACGTCAAGCAACCAGGCCTCTGAGGAGGAGGTCTCGTGTGACTTCCACAAGGGGTTTGGGGAGCAGCCGTGGCTTGGCGGTAGAGCCTCTGCTTGTCATGCAGAAGGACTCAGGTTCAATCCCCGGCATCTCCAGTTAAAAAATCTGGCAATAGATGATATGAAAGTCCTCCGCCCGAGACCCTGGAGAGTTGCTGCCAGTCTGAGTAGACACAATGTCCTTGGTGGACCAAGGGTCTTATTCCATATCAGGTAGTTTCATCTCTTTGGGGCCGTGGCTTAGTGGCAGAGCCTCTGCTTGGCATGTAGAAGATCCCAGGTTCAATCCCCGGCATCTCCAGTTAAGAGGACCAGGCAGGAGGTGATGGGAAAGACTTCCGCCTGAGACCCTGGAGAGCTGTAAAGAGGGGCTGTGGCTCAGTGGCAAAGCCTCTGCTTGGCATGTAGAAGATCCCAGGTTCAATCCCCGGCATCTCCAGTTAAGAGGACCAGGCAGGAGGTGATGGGAAAGACTTCCGCCTGAGACCCTGGAGAGCTGTAAAGAGGGGCTGTGGCTCAGTGGCAAAGCCTCTGCTTGGCATGTAGAAGATCCCAGGTTCAATCCCCGGCATCTCCAGTTAAGAGGACCAGGCAGGAGGTGATGGGAAAGACTTCCGCCTGAGACCCTGGAGAGCTGTAAAGAGGGGCTGTGGCTCAGTGGCAAAGCCTCTGCTTGGCATGTAGAAGATCCCAGGTTCAATCCCCGGCATCTCCAGTTAAGAGGACCAGGCAGGAGGTGATGGGAAAGACTTCCGCCTGAGACCCTGGAGATCAGCTGCCAGTCTGAGCAGACGATGCTGACCTTGATGGACCCAAGGGGGGTCTGATTCACTAGAAGGCAGCTTAATGTGTATTATATGGGAAGGGCTGTGGCTCAGTGGCAGAGCCTCTGCTTGGCATGCGGAAGGTTCCAGGTTCAATCCCCAGCATGCGCAGCTAAAAGGACCAGGCAGTAGGGGATGGGAAAGACCTCCGCCTGAGACCCTGGAGAGCAGCTGCCAGTCTGAGCAGACGATACTGACCTTGATGGACCCAAGGGGGTCTGATTCACTAGAAGGCAGCTTCATGTATTCATGTCACTCTGCTCTTCAGACGCAACGTGGCAGTCTTCATCATAAAATGTGGTCGTGACCGGTAGCTTTGGTGACTTCTGAAGACCAATGCATGGGGGGAGGAGAGGTCCACCGATGGTGGCTGTGTTCCCTGGGGAGGCTGGCTACTCTGTTCCCTGTTCCCTACTCTGTTCCCTCTCTCCCTCAATCGGAAGCACAAAGACCCTTTTCTTGGGTGAGGCCTTTGCACATTGCGAGCTCGCATCTCACGTTCATGGGAGGCATCGTTCATGACCTGTCATCTCTTTCCTCTCATCTCTCCCTCTTTCTCTCCCTTTCCATCGCATTCCCATGGCTCATTCTCATCCAGCGGCAATCTAGGGGATTTGGATGGGCTAACTTGGAGGTGAATAGCTCGCCGAAAGCATCGCGTGTCTGTCGTAGTCGGTGATTCGCTTTACGTTTCCTTTGTAACTAGATGCGCCCCCCCCCAACTCGCTTGTCTGCGCACGCACACACAAAAAAGCTAAGAGCGAGAGAGATCCCATTTGAACAGTGAGGCATTGTGATCAACGTTCCAGGACGTCTGCCAGAGTTTTAATAGAACTGTCTGATTGTCGACAATAGGGCCAGCAGAGATTATACAACATGCATGTTTACCAGCTCGGGAGTGGGGATTAATCAAAAGCTTGCTTGGTCCCTCGACGCTGCAAAGTATAGTTAGTGGGGGTTTGCTAGACACCTTTGTATAGTCAAAGCTGTGGCCAGGATAGGGCTCTGGTATCCTTTGAGGCCGCTGGTCTCTATCGCAACATAGGGGGGTGGGAAGAGGACCGCGGGGTGCCCCGTTTTTAAAACTGAGGCAGGGAGTACCGTCTGCTGCAAACGGAGGAGACTCTGCTGCCATACTTTCATTCGCCTCACTGTTATTTATGTATTTAATTAATTGGATTTATAGCCCGCTCTCTCGGAACCGGCTCAGAGCGGGTAATATCAATTTATAAAACACACAACATTCTAAAACGTTAATGAAATACAATAAATACACTAAAAATCATAATAATGACAATAAATGTAACAAGATCCATAGAATACACATCCCCCTGTACAGCTAAGGTAAAGGTAAAGGTTTCCCTTGCTCGAAAGCCAGTCGACTCCGACTCTAGGGTTGCAGTGCTCATCTCCGTTTCAAAGCCGAAGAGCCAGCGCTGTCCAAAGACGTTTCCGTGGTCATGTGGCCGGCATGACTAAACACCAAGGCGCACGGAACGCTAAAAGATGGCATAAAATCCTAGGGAGGGGCAATATATGGCCATCTGATGGGAAGGAAGGGGGAGGGGAGAAGGGAGGGGCAGGGGCAGGCCAGTCATAGATGAAACCCATCAGGAAAGAGCCCGTTGCTGCCCTCAACCATAAGCCCAGCGGAACAACTCTGTTTTGTAGGCCCAGCGGAACTTTAACAAGTCTCGCAGGGCCCTGATCTCTCCCAGAAGAGTGTTCCACCAGGCTGGAGCCAGGACCCAAAAGGCCCTGGCTCTGGTTGAGGACAACTGGACACTCTTTGGGCCAGGGACCACCATTTTAAGGATCGGTCCCTAGTTCCATAGGAACTGAGTCTCAGACTAGAAATTCCAGCTGCCCACTAAAAGAAGCAGGGAGCTTATTCATGCAGCATCTCAGAAGTGCAGACTTGAATGGGCAGGCATTGACTGGAAGGGAGTTCTCTGCCAGTGCCTGTAGTAGCTGTTGGAACTAGCCAGCTGCTGCAGGCACTTAGAGGCTTCCGGGCTCGTTTGCAAGATTCTTGTGTGAGCGGTGTTCTTCAGGGTTCCAGTGGTAGGAGAGGGTTGGGTACAGCTGGGTCATTTTGATGGGCCCCCAGTAACACCAGTCCTGATTGGGCATTCATAAGATGCTGGAGATGCCCCCCCCCCCGTTGGGTAGACGCAAAAACAAAACTGAACAAGTTACTACGAAACAATTACCTTATTTGTGTATTACAATTAATAAAGATACTCTTCCACAATCTCTGTTCACAACCCAGTAATTGATACAAAAATCCATCAGTCCATGCTCAGTCCGTTGTCTTTTCCCTTCTCATTCAAATTTTCTTAGTGGAATAAACCATTTGTGCCGAATGAGCGCTTCGAGCTCATTAATTTCAAAGTGCACCAGAGGAATGTTCCAAATAATTCATATTTCAAAAGTGCATCACGTGAAGGCTGTCGGAAGGACGCCTCCGTGGAAGGTGGGCAGGCGCTTCTTTCAGAGTTCGCGGCGAGGCTGTGCCTTTGAACCCGGCTGCCTCATGGAGAAGAGGCCACCAGCTCTTCCAGAAGTTCCCCAGAAAGGGCCTTCAGACTCAGCCGGTGTTAGTCTTGGTCGGAGGCAGACAGAGGGGTGATTTCCCGGCCTGGTTTGGTGCAGGTTGTAGAAAGTAAATGGGCTCGGCGCTCCTCCAGTTTGGGGCTTCTCTTCCAACTAATGTTCTGGGTTCCCACAGGGGAACCTGCCCCCCGATTACCACATCAGCCTCATCGATATCGGCCTCGTCCTGGAATACCTCATGGGCGGAGCCTATCGCTGCAACTACACACGGAAGACTTTCCGGACCCTTTACAACAATTTGTTTGGACCGAAGAGGGTAAGAGTCGGCCAGGCCTTTTCTGTCTGTTCTATTCCTGGGCATTCAGTATCTAGGTGCGTGAGGGTTACAAACCCCCAGATGAACCAAGTTTGAGTCCAGTGGCTCAGATGTCTGAAGAAGTGTGCATGCCCATGAAAGCTGATACCCAGAATACAACTTGGTTGGTCTTAAAAGTGCCCCTGGACTCAAACTTGGTTCTATCAGAAGAAGTGTGCATGCACACAAAAGCTTATACCCAGAATTAAACTTTGTTGATATTAAAGGTGCCCCCTGGACTCAAACTTGGTTCTATCAGAAGAAGTGTGCATGCACACAAAAGCTTGTACCTTGAATAAAATGTGTTAGTCTTAAAAGTGCCCCTGGACTCACACTTGGGTTCTGTCTAAAGAAGTGTGCACACTTGTACCCTCTAGTGGTCGATTTGATATTGCGACTGTTTATGCCCGGAATACGTCCCTGCAGATTTAAACTGCAGGTTTTTAACGACTGTGTATGCCCGGAATACCTCCCTGCAGATTTAAACTGCAGATTATTATGCCGGAGATAAACCGGTGTAATATCAAATCGAACACCAGAGGGAGCAAAATATGTGCAGAACCCCAAAGAAACAAGAACTTACAAGCAAGAAATATGAGAATTCAGACAAGATCAAAGACTTTGCAGCTAGCAAAACAGTGTACTCCCTTGTGAAAACCTGCTGTTTCAGGTTGGGTAGCCCTGTTAGTCTGTTCGTAGCAGAAGAAAAGAGTAAGAGTCCAGTGGCACCTTAAAGACTAACAAAATTTGTGGCAGGGGAGGAGCTTTCGTGAGTCACTGCTCACTCCCTCAGCTACCCTTTGTTGTTTCAAGGGAGGGAGAAGGGGTGAGCATAGAATGCTACACAATGTATTTTTGTTTTCTAAAAAAAGTGCATTTCCTTGGAAACATACTGAAGAGCTGGCAATTTAGTTGTTGTAGATTTTCCGGGCTGTGTGGCCGTGATCTTGTCATTGTAGGACCTGACGTTTCACCAGCAGCTGTGACTGGCATCCTCAGAGGTATAAAACCATGCCCTATTTATTTTTAAACTCTCTTCTTTCCTGTTGAAATTGTGAAATTCCTGTCCTGAGAAACACAAAATGCTCTACATCTGACAATAGCACTACAGATAAGATTAGAATTTCAACAGAAAGTCCATATGCAAAAGAACCTCCTCAGGAAAGCTCCTCCGTTAGCATGTCCACAGCCTGGGGAACTCAACCTTACCCCACCTTCCTGAGTAGATATAAATTACCTGCCTACCATTTTTTTTCTCACCTTGACACAGAGGGTGCGTTCAGACGGGCCGTTTAGTCTGCTTTCGGCATGCATCAGTAATGGATCTTATATCCACGTTCACACACCCAACATCTGCGCACCGTTCCCAGCCGTCGCTTTCTGGCTCAACCCCCCTTTAAAACTGAGTATTTTGTTACCGGGCCCCCAAGTGGTGTTTTCCTGATTCTCCGGTTCTAGCCACACTTTTCTGACATCTGATCGCTCCTGCGGTGTCGAGCCACTTCTGGTTTAAACCCCCTCGAGGGGTTTGGATTGATTCGCCCTGGTGGTTCTTCGCATGCGCCATGATAGTTCCCCCCCTTCTACGGAGAGGCGCCTATGCACATGCGCAAAGTGAGGGAAAATTTAAAAAACCTGCCGACACACGCTCCCGCGTGTCAGTAGTGTAGACGCCGGGGAGCGACATGACTGCGCGGTGAGACGGGATAAGGGAGGTAAGTGTGATCACGATTATCCAGAGCAAATATAATCCGGTTAGAGCAGGAGCAGTTTAACCCGCTCCCAGCACGCCGTCTGACCGCACCCAGAGAGTCCTCCACCTTTCTGTGTTATACCTCTGAGGATGCCACTCACAGCTGCTGGAGAAACGTCAGGTCCTGCAGTGCCAAGACCACGGCCGGACAACCCGGAAGATCTACCACAGCTGGCCGTGAAACCCTTCAACAACAAGCTGGCAGTTTATTAACATGATTAATATTTTTTTTAAAAAAAACTATTTTACTAACTATATATATTTTCTCTTTTGTGTTTTAACGCCTGCAGCCCAAAGCTCTTAAACTTCTTGGGATGGAGGTACGTTGCTTGTGTCACTGGAGAATGCACTGTTCCACCCCCCCACCCCCACCCCACTTCTCTTTCTCAGTCTAAGGGGAAGGTCATGGGTGAGATTGACAGGAGGTCAGGAGCAATGCTCCCTCCAAGCTTTGGAGTCTTGTGAGCAAAAGTTCTGCTTTGTGAGCTACTGGCATTAAAGTTCTGAGCGAGCGATTTGGCTGCTGCATACATTTGTTTGCTCTGGAGCCCGATCCTTCCTGAGCGAAGACACAAATGTGTGAGCCGGAGGCTAAAAAACTGTGAGCTAGCTCACACTAACTCAGCTTAGAGGGAACATTGGTCAGGAGGACCATTTATATCTTTCCCCATGATTGGTCCTGGTGGTGGGAAGGGCCAGCAAGTCACAGCTGACGTACGGCGACCTTGTAGGGTTTCCAAGGACTTTCTTGGTGGTCTCCCACCCAAATACCAACCAGGGTGGACCCTGCTTGTGTGTGTGTGTGGGTGTGTGATGTGGTGTCAGGTTGCTTTCAACTCATGGCGACCCTATGAATTAATGTCCACCAAAACCTCCTGTCGTTAACAGCCTTGCTCGGGGGTCTTGCAAACCGAGGGCCTTTTGTGGCTTCCTTTATTTGCGTCCCTCCATCTCACGTTGGGTCTTCCTCTTTTCCTGCCGCCTTCGACTTTTCTTAGCATTAGCTCCTGAGATCTGGCGAGACCAGGCTAGCCTGGGCCATCCCAGGTATAATCAGTTATGATCAGTTCCACGCAACATTAAAGGAAGAGCTCGTTATCGGTTCTTATTCCGGGGGAGGGGATTGGGGGGAGTTGAAGGCTACGTCCTGCTTTTCACTCTGCAGTCTAATCGATTGCTCATTTTTAAAAAAATGAGCGATGGATTTAACTGGAGATGGAAAAGCAGACACATCTCCTAACCTGACACACACATCCCACACACAGGGGATCTTCTTCCTCCTCCTCCTCCTCCTCTTCCTCCTCTTCCTCCTCCTCCTCCTCTTCTTCCTCCTCTTCCTCCTCCTCTTCTTCTTCTTCTTCCTCCTCCTCCTCTTCTTCTTCTTCCTCCTCCTCTTCTTCTTCTTCCTCCTCCTCCTCCTCCTCTTCTTCCTCCTCCTCCTCCTCCTCTTCCTCCTCCTCCTCCTGTTCTTCTTCTTCTTCCAGGAGATGATCTGCCACAGAGCCACGGCTCCATCTCTGTTGGCCACTGAGGCCAAGTTGTTTGTTCAGAAAAGGTGACTTCTGGGATCCAGCTAAGTTAGGCATTAATGCAGACAGTTGCTTACGTTCCTCATCCGCTGCTTTGCCTGTCCAGGAGCTCTTTGGGGCAGTAAAGCTCCTCCCTCCCCCCTCCCCCCTCCGTCTTTCGAGATTCTCCCAGCCCGGCTCACTGCCAACTGCACGCTATTATTGCAGCCCGAAGAGCCAGAAGCTGAAATGCTCAGGACATCATCACCATCACCACCACCATCATTATTTTATTCGATTTATTAATCGCCCCACCCCAGCTATGCCAGGCTCTGGGCGATGTACAAGGGAGGCATAATGCCATAAGACAAAATACAAATTTTAAAAATCCAATACAGTTAATAAGAATAAAACCAGAATAAAATCCCAGAGGGCGATTTACAGTTTTCTATTCCTTTCTGGACTACTTAGCTATATGGTGGTGGTGGTGGTGGGGGGCATAGAAACTTAACAAAATACAGACACAGGAAGAGAGGGGAAGGAGGGGAAGGGTGCCAGCCAGCGTAACCAACCCGTTGCTGCCCTCAACCAACAGCCTGGCGGAACAACTCCTCGCTTTACAGGCCCTGCGGAATTGCATCAGATCCCGCAGGGCCCTGACGTCATTTGACAGAGAGTTCCACCAGATCGGGGCCAGGACCGAAAAGGCCCCGGGCCCTGGTCGAGGACATCCGGACGTCCCTGGGGCCAGGGATTGCCAGCAAGTTGTTATCTTCAGAGCGCAAAACTCTCCCGGGTACACACCAGAGAAGGCGATCCCGCAGTAAGTTACTGGACGGTCTCCACTAAGTCAACGGGAAGAAGGGAAGGAGCGAAAGTTTAACAGGACAGCAACTCTGAGAAACCTTTCTAGTGCTTTATCTGTCCAGACTGGTCCTTTTGGTACTGTTATTTGTGTTTTTTAAATGCCCTCAAATCAGGACTGAAAAAAGCACCGGTCCCCGTTGATTTTGGTCGCTTTGTGACAAGACGAGAGTCACTGGAAAGGATCATAATGCAAGGAAAAGTTGAAGGCAGCAGGAAATGAGGAAGACCCAACCTGAGATCAGCTGGCTCGATAAAGGAAGCCAGGGCCCTCGGTTTGCAAGACGTAAGCAAGCCTGTTAACGATAGGACATTTTGGAAGTCATTAATTCACAGGGTCACCGTAAGTCGTAAGCCACTCCATGGCCGCTTTGTTGGAAATATATGTGTGTTGCAAGGTCTAATTCAGTCATTATAGGGTTCATATGTTTACCTTGTGTGCTGATGTTTAGACTGACCTGGAAGGGAAACCTGGCTCAGAGCCAATGAAAACAAAGCCCGGGACATCTAAGTCTGTTTACTTACAGTAATTGGTTAATGTATTCAGGTGATTTCCTCTAGGGGTCAAGAAGAAGAATACGAATCTCCATTGCAGTTGTTGTTGAGAGACCGTGTAGTCAGTCTGTTTCTGTAGATGTAGAGATGTAGCCTTAGATCTTTTATTTTGTAGTTTCCCCTTCAGAAAAAAAGGGTTTTTTACACAGAAAGAAATGCCTCCTCTCCTGTGAAGCAAAGATCCATTGCAAACTCTGAATATCTAAGTATTTTTGCCATTTTTTCCCAACACCCTTCACACACGCACCCTCCATCAATGCTGTTAGTGATGCCGTGTGGATTCTTTATCAAAGCTACACGAACAGATGCTCCAGATGTTCAGCACACCAAGCGCACATGACCGGAAACAGCAAGGCTGGGGCCGACTACGCATACCAGCCCTGCCTCGTTCCTCTATCAGGCTATTATACAATACTTTGTTGGGTTTTCCCCCCAGGCTTTTAGGTTATCATTTAAACCATTGGAATCAACAACAAGAACCAAAAAGTAACTGTACAGGAAACGCATCCGCCTCTATTGAAAGCGGGCGCGAGTCCACATTGTTATATCACTGTTTCAAATCGGCTGCGAAATATAGAAATACAAAAGCCGAGCCCGCCCGGTCCGAAAAGCTGCTAAGCAGCTTTGCCCGGTACAAAGGAAGCACAGACAGGGGGATTAATCTTCTTTGAAATCTCTTTGTCTTCTCCGGCCGGCAGCGAGGGGACTGAGGGTGTCTCTCTCCGCCAAGACAGGGAGGCTGGATTATAACCAGCCCAAATGGGAGGACGGCAGCAAACACGTCCGGAGATGCGTTCGTGCCAGCGTCCCCTCTAAGCTGAGTGAGTGTGAGCTAGCTCACAGTTCTTTAGCCTCCGGCTCGCACATTTTTTTTGTCTTCGCTCAGGAACGAGGGCTCCAGACCAAACTGATCTATGCAGTAGCCAAATTGCTCGCTCACAATTTTAGTGCCGGTTGCTCACGAAAAAGAACTTTTGCTCACAAGACTCCACGGCTTAGAGGGAGCCTTGGTTTGTGCGGCCTCTCTGGGCCTTGCTGTAGTACACAGATACAGACTCTTTCCATTCGAGCGCAAGTTGACATGGTCCGTTTAGACAGTGCCGGTTACATGGTTGGGAGGGAGAGGGGCCAGTACAGGAGAAGCAGCAAAGGAGAGGGGGGCCAGATACTCTCTCTTGGAGGGAGGAAGGGGCTGTGGCTGAGTGGCAGAGCCTCTGCTTGGCACGCAGAAGGTCCCAGGTTCAATCCCCGGCATCTCCAGTTGAAAGGGCCAGGCAGCAGGTGATGGGAAAGACCTCTGCCTGAGACCCTGGAGAGCCGCTGCCAGTCCACAATATGAACTTAATGGGGAGAGGCCGTGGCTTAGTGGTAGAGCCTCTGCTTGGCATGGAGAAGGTCCCAGGTTCAATCCCCAGCATCACCAGTTAAAAGGATCAGATAGGAGGTGATGGGAAAGACCTCCGCCTGAGACCCTGGAGAGCAGCTGCCAGTCTGTGTAGACAATACTGACCCTGATGGACCAAGGGCCTGAGTCAGTATAAGGCAGATTCCTATCCACACAAAGCCAGCTGGGTGACCTTGGGTCAGTCACAAGTTCTCTCAGAGCTCTCTCGGCCCCACCTACCTCACAGGGTGTCTGTTGTGGGGAGGGGAAGGGGAAGGTGATTGTAAGCCGCTCTGAGACTCCTTTGGGTACTGAAGAGCAGGGTATAAAACTAACTTCTCCTCCTCCTCCAGAGCCAGTTTGGTGTAGTGGTTAGGAGCGTGGCTTGGATTCACCACTCCTCCACATGCAGCTGCTGGAGTGACCTTGGGTCAGTCACAAGTTCTTTCAGAGCTGTCCTCTCAAGGGCAGTTCTTGAGAGAGCTCAGCCCCACCTGCCTCACAGGGTGCCTGTTGTGGGGAGGGGAAGGGAAAGGAGATTGTAAGCCGCTCTAGGACTCCTTCGGGTACTGAAGGGTGAGGCATAAATCCAATCTCCTCCTCTCCTCCTCCTCCTCCTCCTCCTCTATTCCTAGCTCATGTGGACAACTGTTACAGACTGAATTTCTTCCTTCAGAGCCTGACTTTTTCTTCCAGCTGTGGTTTTTCCCTCCCTCTAAGGCACCTGCAGCGTCCTGTCCTCAGTAGTTCTCTTCAGTTCCTTCTGCTCTAAGGCACCTGCAGCGTCCTCAGTAGTTCTCTTCAGTTCCTTCTGTGCCAGTTGCTGTAGTCATTGTTTGCCCTCCTTGATGCTGAAGAAAACTGGGCAGTCCTGCCTGGCTTTGAGCTTTCTGAGTGAGAGGTGAACAAACCCCTTCTGTGTCTGTAAGGATTCTTTCCATTGTCTCCTTCTTTTGCATGCCGTTTTGTTCGTCCTCCGCGTGGCAGCCGGAAAACAAACATTGATCCGTATTCTGTTGGTATTTTAAAAGATTCGCCCGCCGTTTCCCAAACTTCTGAAAGGAGAGACCTACTTTTGTTCCAAATTATACTAGAGGCATTTTTTATTTTTGTAGCAGGGATGGTTTACTGTCCAATGAGAATGAGAATCCCCTCCCTCCATGGATCACCCCCATTGTGTTTCTGAGTGAGTTGCTGCGTTGTGTTGTGTTGCTGCGTGAGTTCGGCACGATTACCCTCCACGAAAGGCGATTCTGTTCTGCTTCTGTGTGAGCGTGCGCTTCAGTCACATTCGATGTGGCAAAGTTCTTTGGCTTCAGCGGAAGCCAAGTTGGAAACTTGCAGGATTCGTACAGAGATGCAGTGGGCAACCTCTCCAGGGTCACGGACACACCGGCATGCTATAGTTTGGGAATTATTGGATGAGACAGAACCCTTGAATTTCAAATCAGAGGAAAAAAATGGGTGTCCCCTACGGTAGATCCAGCACCCTCGTATTAAGTCAACTGATTTGCGCATGGGAATGATGCATGAACAGCGCATGGTGTGTGTGTTTTTCCCCTTGAGCTTTTTCGTTATTAGCATCATTGGGAAATGCATGCCAAGGGTCAAAGGAAGACGGAGTTAGACAAGCTGGCCTATTTTCCTAACACTGGCTCTTTTTCCATAGGACGACGAGCCGCCGAGCAAAGGGAAGAAGAAGAAAAAGAAGAAGAAAGAGGAGGAAGTGGACATCGACGTGGACGACCCCGAGGTCAGCCGCTTCCAGTACCCCTTCCACGAGCTGATGGTGTGGGCAGTGCTGATGAAGCGCCAGAAGATGGCCCTCTTCCTGTGGCAGCGTGGCGAGGAAACCATGGCCAAAGCCCTCGTGGCGTGCAAGCTCTACAAAGCCATGGCCCACGAGTGTTCCGAGAGCGAGCTGGTGGACGACATCTCGCAAGACCTGGACAACAACTCCAAGTGAGTCAGCCGGATAGGACGTTGTGCCGGGTAAAAACCTGAGCTGATCGTAAGTTCCGGGCAACCAGACCAGGGGTCATTTCGTAGAAAAAGAGCTAGGGGAACTCATTAGCATAACTCATTAGCATATGCCACACCCCCTGACATCACCGGAAGTGTGTCATAAGGCCACACACCCCGCCCCCCAACCGCCACCGCCGGCCTTGCAGCTCCACTGCCGAGCCCCATGAGGGGCCCGGCGGTGGACCTGCAAGGCCGGCGGGAGTGCAAGGAAGCCCCGCGAAGGCCCTCCCTGGCCCCAGGCAGGCAGGGGGGGAGAGAGGCAGGGAGGAAGCAATGTACCCTCCCTCTTCTCCTGCCTCCTCCTAGCTGAATGAGGGCCGGGGAACTGCGATCCCCCCGATCCCCCCCGAAATGACCTCTGAACCAGACTCTTCTTGGGAATGAAGGCGACGGGTCAACTCGTGTGTGGCTGACGGGCTAAAGGTCATGTGGTTCGAGGATGGAAATAGATAAGAGGAAGTCAGATAGAAGGTTCCTCAGTTAAGACGCACTTGCCAGAGCAACGTTTTCAGAGCCCCTGGATGTACGGATGCCAACCTCTCTAGGTGGTGGCGGGAAGTCTCCCACAAGTGCAACCAGGCCCGTTGCCAGGATTTTGTGGCTTCTGAGACAATTTTTTTTCTGTTGGGGCTGAAGGTCTCAGGGCAGGAAGAAAAGCCATTGAGCCAGTAGAAAGCTGTGACCAGGGGAGATCTCCACATTGCAAGCTGCCAACCACTTTAGATGACAGTTCTCAGCTGCTGCAAGTTAATCACTTCTGCCAGCCGAAGCAACACTTCTGAAAACAAGCCGGCAGGTGGGGGGGGGGGGTGACTTCTGTAGTCAAGAAAGCCAACACTGAGGCAGCAAAACTCTCTTGAAGGAGACCTGTTTCTTGACACAGAGATAGAAGGGATCCTAGAGGTCACCCACTCCAACCCCCTTGATCAGTGCAGGAGCTGGTCAGCTACAGCACCCTACTCTGCTTAAAGGAGCGCACATCTTTTAAAAAAATGTTTTCAAATGATTGAAAAAAGCATTTACGGGAGAATTTCTTGTGGGGCTTTGCCTTTAAGAAAGGGGGCAAAGCCCCCCAAAGCCCCACCGTAGCTATGGGCCTGACTACAACTGATCTCCAGGCTAGAGTGATCATTTCCCCTGGAGGAAAATGGCCGATTTGGAGGAATGACTCTGTGGCATTACAATCTACTGAGGTCCCTCCCCTCCCCAAAATCCACTATCCCCAATCTCCACCCCCAAAATCTCCAGGTATTTCCCAACGCAGAGTTGGCAACCCCAACTGGCAGTCACCACCGTGTCAGTCATGAGAATCAGGCAGTGACCCTCCATCCTACCCACTCTCTAGGTTAGGTGTCCCCAACACGGTGCCCATGGGAATCATGGTGCCTGTTGACACCTTTCTTGGTGCCCACCGAATGTTTCTAGAAGGTGGGTTGCGCCAGGTGGGATTCTTGGCCAGCAAGGGTTCTGATTGGCCAGTGAACGTCCAGTGGGCTATGTGGATCAAAATAATATTGTTTCTGTGGTACTGCCACCACAGTGTTCGTTTTATTCTCCCTCAGTCCTCCTTCCCAGTGTATATTTTGAATTACCCATCTCCTCTTCTGTGCTTGGGTTTCCTATGTGTGGTTGGCTCCGCCTCCTGCAGCAGCCATTTTGTGGTTGGCTCCACCTCCTGCAGCAGCCATTTTGTGCTTGGCCCCTCCCCTTGCAGCAGCCATTTTGTGCTTGGCCCCTCCCCCTGCAGCAGCCACTTTGTGGTTGGCTCCGCCTCCTGCAGCAGCCATTTTGAAGCTGTGCCACCATTCTCTGTCCAAATTCCAAAGGTACCTACAGGCTCAAAAGTATTGGGGACCCCTGTTTTATTGAGAAGATGGATTGGGGTGTAGGATAAAGTTGCTGGATACGCGTTGTATGATTTCCCCACCACACCAAACCCTGTATCTTTGTTTCTCCAGAGATTTTGGCCAGTTGGCCGTGGAGCTGCTGGATCAGTCCTATAAGCACGACGAGCAGGTGGCCATGAAACTCCTGACCTACGAACTGAAGAACTGGAGCAACTCCACCTGTCTGAAACTGGCGGTGGCGGCGAAACACAGGGACTTCATCGCGCACACCTGCAGCCAGATGTTGCTGACGGACATGTGGATGGGCAGGCTGCGCATGCGCAAAAACCCAGGCCTTAAGGTTGGCACTAGCCTCTCTGAGCATAACATGTTTATTGGTCGATTGATCGATTGAAAACATTTATTATCCTCTTTTCTTCCTCTCGGAGCTCACCGGTAGCTTACAAACATTGACAAAAACAAATCAAATAGAAAAATACACTAAAAACATAAAGCCAAAATTTTAAAATCAGGACCACTACTTAACCAAATGCGGTCCTAAATAAATCCGTCATCAACCGCCTCCTACTTTCTTCTTATCTTACCGTTCTTTCGACTCAGAGGTCTCGAACAGCTCGAGATCCAACCCTCTTAGAAGGAATCGCCGCCGCTGAGTGTTTAGCAACTGCTAAGGTAGTTTTCCGATCCTCATCTACAAGGAAAGACTGGATGATTTTTTTTTGAGAGGGTAAATTCCCATAACCTATTAAGAGGGAGAGCAAATACCTTACTCTCAAATTGGACCAGATTTCACACTCTGATAAAATATGTTCTAAGGACTCGAGTGGACCACATTTACAAACTCTGTCCGGATACACTGTGCCTGCGAATCGGCCTTCTGGTATGGCTGTGGGAAAAGAATTTAACCGGGCGGACATGCGCGCTCTTCTAGAATGAGAGATCATTAGGTCTTCTAAGTAGCTTGGAGAACTGCCTCCTGAAGATGGAAAGTGAGGGGAGGTTGTTCCATAATCATGGAACATGTGTTGCCTCCGAGGCTATGAACACTTGAGGGAGCAGAACTGCTGCCATATGAACAAACCCTAATGAGAGGGATACTTTTTTTTTGGGGGGGGGTATTTCTGCATGTTTTGAGTGTGTGCTTGTGTGTCTGTGTGCTCATGCCTGGAAGTCATGGCGACCTCTGGCAGCTCCTACTGGGGCACGGAGGACGTTCAGAGAAGCGGCTCGACAGCCTGCCTCTGCGTCCCAGCCCTGGTATTCCTTGGAGGCCTCCCTTCCAATGAGCTGCCAGGGTCGGCCCTGCTCAGCTTCCGAGATCTGACGATATCGGGCTTGCCGGGTCAATCCAGGCTAGGGCAGGAGTGGGGGACTTCTGATGTTGGGGGGGGGGGAATCAAGGAACCAGATAGAGGTTAACAAAGAAGGAAGGCCTGGATATGAAGTATCCTTTGTGTACAACTGGCCTCCTGTGCCCTGCCTATAAACACACGGCAGCAACTTACCTATGTGTGTACAAATGTGCTATCCAGTTGCAACCGACGTATGGCGACCCCAGCAAAGAGCTTTCAAGGCCGCTGAGGAGCAGAGGTGGTTGGCCATGGCCTTCCTCTGCAGAGCCTTCCTGGGTGGTCTCCCATCCAAGACTTATGGCGACCCCAGCGAGGGGCTTTCAAGGCAAGAGAGAAGCAGAGGTGGTTGGCCATGGCCTTCCTCTGCAGAGTCTTCCTTAATTGTCTCCCATCTAAGACTTATGGTGACCCCAGCAAGGGGCTTTCAAGGCAAGTGAGAAGCAGAGGTGGTTGGCCATGGCCTTCCTCTGCAGAGCCTTCCTTGGTGGTCTGGTCTCCCTTCCAAGTACTGACCCTGCTTAGGTTCCGAGAACTGACAAGATCGGACTGTACCATGTTACCCTTCCCTCCCACTGGCAACTTAGATTTTGTTATTACTGAGTCATAAAGATCTCTGAAGCCCAACACGTTTTTTTTCTTGCACAGGTTATCATGGGGATTCTCCTCCCGCCCACCATCTTGTTCCTAGAGTTCCGAACCTCCGATGACTATTCCTACCAGACATCCAAGGAAAACGAAGGCGGCAAAGACAGGGATGAGGATAATGCGGTTAGTGGTGTACCTCGCCAGGACTCTGCTTTTTAGGCTGCTTTGTTTGGCTCCATTGTTGTCTGTGGTCCAACGGGTTCCTTGGGCTTTTGAAGGAGCTGCCAGGGTTCGATAGTCAGGTCACGCACAACACAACGCTTCATAAGAAGGATTCTGTTTATTGGTACGCCAGGACTATGACACGTGTACAGTTTGTGTCAGAAATGCCTGGGAACAGCATGGCACCCTGAATTATACTAGGATCAAACACACACACCCCTTACAAGCTGAAGCCAATAAGCAAAGCTCGCGCGCACGGGGCAAGAAAGCGGGCAAAAAGCAAAGGCCGTTGTTTCCCAGCAAAAGCCGACAGCAGCTGGAACATCCCAAGGTCAAGAAAGTAGTGGCCATCTTGGTTTTTATGCGAGGAGTACTGAATATATTTTTCTATGATTATAACTGGTTTTAAAAATTTCAATGTATGTATTGTGCGACGACAAGCGGTGAGGTGGCGAGCGGCAGATGGAGAGCTCTGGAAAAATGGCGACTGAGGCACAACATCTACGAGGGTGCGGACGTTGGTGGAAGGCGGAGCTAGGAAGACGCTGGGAGTGCGGAAGGCGCAGGCGCGGCGGAGCCTCAATGGACGGAGCCGGAACCGCACCGGAAGCGCGCCGAGCGCCTGAGAGGCCCGCTGAAAACGCCACCGGAAAGATCACAGATAGAAGGAGAAAAAGCCAGAAGAAGCCGAGCTGACGAGCCGTTCCAGAAGGAAGAAGATCGAATAACGTCCCTCCACTGGGTGCTGTTAGGACAGTCCCCACCCCAGTATATATGTGGCCATAGGTAAGGGATAACGGTTAACTGTAAGCCGCTCAGAGACCCCCTGGGGAGCAAGCTGGTTTCCCCCTCCACACATTTCAGCAACATGGCAGTGTTAACTGACATCAGCACAAAAACCTGAGAAACCTGTTTGATCAGCGACAACGGGAATTAATGTAGACACCACGAGTAATGATGGCCTTTGCGTCCTGCTTTTTTTCATGTGTGGTTAAAAAATTCCAGAGCAGCTGTAGCTTGTCTTTCAGTCATTTTCTCTCTCATTGTCAACAACTCTGAACGGTAACTTTATAGATGGACTCCGGGGTTTTTAAAAAATCTGCAGTCATAAAAATAAGCTCCGGTTGGTGTTGTGGTTAAGAGTGGTGGACACTAATCTGGAGAACTGGGTTTGATCCCCCCACTCCTTCACATGCAGCCAGCTGGGTGGCCTTGGGTCAGTCACAAGTTCTCTCAGAGCTCTATCAGCCCCACCTACCTCACAGTGTATTTTGTGGGATGAGGAAGGGAAGGAAATTGTAAGCGGCTCCTTTGGGTAATGAAAAGCGGGGAATAAAAAAACAACCCTTCTTCTTCCTCCTCCTTCCCAGTTTGGTGTAGTGGTTAAGTGCGCAGACTCTAATCTGGGAGAACCAGGTTTGATTCCCCATGCCTCCACATGCAGCTGCTGGTGTGACCGTGGGTCATTCACAAGTTGTCTTAGAGCTGTTCTCTCAAGGGCAGTTCTTGAGAGAGCTCTCTCAGCCCCACCTATCTCACAGGGTGTCTGGTGTGGGGAGGGGAAGGGAAAGGAGTTTGTAAGCCGCTCTGAGACTCTGAGTAAAGGGTGGGGTATAAATCTGTTTTCTTCTTCCTCCTCCTCCTCCTCCTCCTCCTCCAGGATGGAAATGTTGATACCGGTTCCCGAAAAGGTGACGAAGAAGATGGAGATAAAAAGCAGAGGAACCTTCCTATTGGGAAAAAGATCTATGAATTCTACAATGCCCCGATCGTCAAGTTCTGGTTCTACACGGTATGCGAAATCATAACTTTTCTGAAAACATCACTTTCTCTTCCCCTTGTTGACGTCTTCATAAGGGACTTCAAAAGCCTGGTTCCTTGCTGTTCCTCCGTCACTTGGTCGAGAGCCAAGCGAATTCCAGATGTTCTCCAGGACCTTCTGCCTTGGAAATTACTTTCCGAGGGTAGCCGTGTTCATCTGCAGTAGGAAGGCTAGATTCGGGTCCAGTAGTACCATAGAGGTCAAAGAGATTTTCGGGGTATAAACTTTCAAGAGCCAAAGATATCTAATGAAGGGAGGTTTGACTCTAAAGAGCTGATACCCTGAAAATCTTGTTGTTCTCTGTGGTGCCAAAAGGCTTCCCTTGCTCGAAAGCCAGTCAAATCCGACTCTAGGGGGCAGTGCTCATCTCTGTTTCTAAGCTGAAGAGCCAGCGCTGTCCGAAGACGTCTCCCGAGGCCATGTAGCTGGCATGACTAGACGCTGAGGTGCACGGAACGCTGTTATCTTCTCACCGAAGCAGTACCTGTTCATCTACTTGCAATTTCTTGCTTTCGAACTGCTAGGCTGGCAGGAGCTAGGGCCAGAGACGGGAGCTCACTCCGTCACGCGACAGATGGGTCTCGAACTGCCAAACTACAGACCTAGCTTTCCTTGGAGAGGATCATTGCCTGGTCAACAATCATGGGAAGGTCACAGCCAAAGGTGTCTACTGGGGAAGACCATGAAGCTTCCTTCTACTGAATCAGACCTTTGGTCCATCAAGCGCAGTATTTGTCTACTCAAACCGGCAGCAGCTCTCCAGGGTCTCACGCGGAGGTCTTTCCCATCACCTCCTGCCTGATAATTTTAACTGGAGATGCCGGGGACCGAACCTGGGACCTTCTGTGTGCCAAGCAGATGCTCTACCACTGAGCCACAGCCCCTCTTGACAGCTCTCCGGGGTCTCAGGTGGAGGTCTTTCCCCTCACCTCCTGCCTGATCCTTTTAACTGGAGATGCCGGGGATTGAACCTGGGACCTTCTGCATGCCAAGCAGAGGCTCTTCCACTGAGCCACAGGCCCCTCTTTACAGCTCTCCGGGGTCTCAGGTGGAGGTCTTTCCCATCACCTCCTGCCTGATCCTTTTAACTGGATATGCCGGGGATTGAACCTGAGGCTGTACCACTGAGGCTGTACCCCAGGCCCCCATTTCTGTTTGTATGCATTTTGGAAGCACCACAGAAACCCGAGCAAACCTGTGAGAGAAGACAAGAGGCAGCTTTTGGTTTCCATTTAACTGGAGATGCCGGGGACTGAACCTGGGACCTTCTGCGTGCCAAGCAGAGGCTCTGCCACTGAGCCACAGCCCCTTATTCAGCCCCAGCCCCCCATTTTTGTTTGTATGCATTTTGGAAGCACCACGGAAACTGAGCAAACCTGTGTGAGAAGACAAGAGGCAGCTTTTGGTTTCCAGAGGGAAGAGTAGGACTGCAGCATCGCCATCAAAGTCCAGGAGATTTACAAACAAATGAGTTGCCAGAACACATTTATTTGAAAAGTCACTGCAGGTTCCTTTTCCTCTTCCGCAGATCTCCTACCTGGGCTACTTACTGCTGTTCAACTATATCATCTTGGTGCGGATGGACCGCTGGCCGTCGGTCCAGGAATGGGTGGTCATCTCTTATATTGTGACCCTGGCCCTGGAGAAAGTACGAGAGGTAATGCGCACATTTCCACTCCTGGGCCTTTTGAGTTACCCGTATTGTAACCAATGCTCCGTCTAAGCTGTGGAGTCTGGTGAGCAAAAATTCTACTTTGTGAGCTACCGGCATTAAAGTTGTGAGTGAGCGATTTGGCTACTGCGTAAATTAGTTTGCTCTGGAGCCCTCCTTCCTGAGCTAAGAGGAAAATCTGTGAGCTTGAGGCTAAAAAAACTGAGATAACTCACACTAACTCAGCTTAGAGGGAACACTGATTGTAACTCTTGGTTGATGCCACACACATCCAGAGACTTGGGAAATTCCTTATCGGATCATTATATCAATGAAGATTTTGTTGTCCATGTGCAGTTACTATGAGGAGTTACCCATGGCCTATTCCATAAACCAGGGGTGTCAAACTCATTAGTTACGAGGGCCGGATCTGACATAAGTGAGACCTCGTTGGGCCGGGCCATGTGTGTCATAAAAGGTAATGCCAGGTAGCGGAGATATAAACTTTATAAAATAAAAACATGCTTAAAACATGAGCACTCTTGCAATATTTTGTTTATTTAACTGTGTCCGATAACTGACACCTCTTGCTCTGAATCATTGCATCAAAATGTCTGTGCCGTTGCAATCTTGAGGATGCTGTTCAGGTGTGTCTCTGTAAGCTGCAAACCGGCGATGACGCAGTAGCAGCAGCAGAACTGGGAGAAGAAGCAGAAGACAGGCGGTTCCACTGCGGGCCTGAAAGGAGCCCTTCGGAGGCCTGGGCCGGCCCCTGGGCCGCATGTTTGACACCCCTGAGTTAACCCATGGCCTATTCTGTAAACTTTCAACAGCCGCACCGCGTATCAGAAAGCAACACCTGGTTTCAATGTATAGATATTTGCTTCTTGATGTGTGTGTTATCATAGTATTTTTTACCACTGAGCTGGCCCGTAGCCATGCCCCCCCTATTTGGGGCTCTGCCCCCTTTCTTAAAGGGACAGCCCCACAGGACCCTTGCCTAGAACAGTGATCTATCCTTTCATCTATTTTCTATAAGTCCTCAGTGTAGAGAAAAGCCTTGCAGCCAGATCCTGGGAGGGTTTACTCTTGAGTAAGTCATTTCAGTTTTGGAGGAAGAAGTGAAGAGATTGGATTTATATCCTGCCATTCATTTGGAGTCTCAGAGCGGCTTACAAACTCTTTTCCTTTCCCCCTCCCCACAACAGACACCCTGTGAGGTAGGTGGGGCTGAGAGAGCTCTCCCGAGGACTGCCCTTGAGAGAACAGCTCTGAGATAAGGAGAAGAGAAGAGACTGGATTTATACCCCGCCCTTCACTACCCAAAGAAGTCTCAGAGTGGCTTACAAACTCCTTTACCCCCTCCCCACAACACACACCCTGTGAGGAAGGTGGGGCTGAGAGAGCTCCTTCGAGGACTGCTCTTGAGAGAACAGCTCTGAGAGAACTTGTGACTGACCCAAGGTCACACCAGCAGCTGCATGTGGAGGCGTGGGGAATCAAACCCGGTTCTCTTTCAAGGACTGCTCTGAGACTCTGAGTGAAGGGCGGGGTATAAATCCAACTCTTCTCCCTCTCCCCCTCCTCCTGCCAGTATTTTCATACTGTTCCTAACTGACGCTTCTTTTCTCCTAGAGAGCCAGTTTGGTGCAGTGGTTAAGTGTGCGGACTCTAATCTGGGAGAACCGGGTTTGATTCCCCACTCCTCCACTTGCACCTGGCTGGATGACCTTGGGCGAGCCGTAGTTCTGATAAGAGCTGTTCTTGAAAAAAGAGCAGTTTCTGTCAAGAGCTCTCTCAGCCC